AAAATAAGTGGTTTTTTGCGAGGATAACGCGTTGCTCAAATAATACCAAGTGCGTCTCAAAGCTATTTGCGATGGTGAAATTTTTTTTTTGCGACGGCAAGTGGGTCGCAACAAGGGGGGTTGCAAAAAGACCTTTTAGCGAGGCAATGTTTTGCGACGAGAATATTTCTTTTTTGCGACGGCAAATTTCTGTCGCCGATTATTGGATGAAGATCTGGTTTTTTTTGCGAATGGCCAAACTTCCGTCGCTAAATAGTATTTTGCGACGGAAAATTCCGATCGCAAAAAATGCCGTGCGCAAAAATGTGACGTTAAGACTTGTGGGACGCAATTTATCGTCGCTAAGCTTGTTTCTCAAATAAATTCACACTTTTGGACGGTAGGGCTGCCGTCGCAAAAACCACTGGAGCAGCTTTTTTTTTTTTTTTTTTTTGTGCAACGGTTTCCTCGTCCTAAAAAAAATTTTAAACCCTAGTTTTCCATTATTTAAAATATATAACTGTATGTGGTAAGATTATATAATAACATTAAATAAACAATAACTAATGTTGGCAAGTGAAAAATAGCTAAAAAAAAAATCAAAATGACATAAATAATAGTAAATCATACATAACAAAGTTGGCAAAGTGATGAAAATTCTAGTTGGCATAATACATATATGTTGGTACAAATTTAAATAAACATGATAAATCAAAAATCAAAACAAAAGTTGTTGTCTTGAATTCTTTCGTGAGTTACAAAAATAGAAAGTTGGTCATAATTTTACGCGCCACATTCAAAGAAGCAAACTGATACTCAGGAATATCTGAAAAAAATAAAATAATAATTAATAAAATATATGGTGTAATATTTTAATTACAGAAAAATATAAAAAAAATTACTACATATAATTAGAAAAGATAGTTTAGTTAATTTTGACTAGAGGACTAGTTTGCTAAAGTGAATTCGGCTCAAACTCCCAAACGGGAACTGATTCGAGCCCCGTCTTTCTACCCACAAGTACTCTCGTGCCTAGGCGGTCGTGTGTGGCCAGGTTTTCGTGTCTAACGACGCCGTTTGGTGATTTTGGGGCTTAACGTCCTGATTCAAGTTTTAAAGGAACTAGTTTGCCTAAAGTGAAATCCAGTAAATCCCAAACCGGGAAGCCTGTTCGAGCCCCGTTTCTCCCACAAGTCTCTCGGCCTAGGCGGTCCGTGTGTGGCTCAAGTTTCGTGCAAAACCGACGCCATTTGGTGAATTTTGGGGCGTTAGCTCCTCGATTTCAAGTATTCTTAAGAACTAGTTTTGCCTAAAGTGAATCCGGCTTTAACCCAACCGGGAACCGATTCGAGCCCCGGTCTTCTCCACAAGTCTCTCGTGCTGGGTCGCTTGTGTGCAGGTTTGTGCTAACCAAGCCGTTTGGTGATTTTGGGGACGTTAACTCCTCGAATTCAAGTTTCTTTAAGGAACTAGTTTGCCTAGTGAAATCCGGCTCTAACTCCCAAACCGGGACCTGATTCGAGCCCCCGTACTTCTCCACAAGTCTCTGTGCTGAGGCCGTGTGTGTGCCAAGTTTGTGAAACCGACGCCGTTTGGTGATTTTGGGGCGTTAAATCCTCGATTCAAGTTCTTAAGGACTAGTTGCTAAAGTGAATCCGACTCAAATCCGAAATCGGGGAACGATTCGAGCCCCGATCTCTCCCACAAGTCTTCTCGTTGCTAGGCGGTGTGGTGTGCCAGTTTCATACTAAACCGACGCGTTGGTGATTTTTGGGGGCGTTAACATCCTGAATTCAAGTTTCTTAAGGAACTAGTTGCCTAAGTGAAATCCGGCTCTACTTCCCAAACCGGGACACCGATTCGAGGCCCCGTCTTCTCCACAAGTTCTCGGCCTAGGCGGTCGTGTGTGCGCAAGTTTCGTGCTAAACGCGACGCAATTTGGGTGATTTTGGGGCGTTAACTCATGAAATTTCAAGTTTTCTTGAGGAACTAGTTTGGTAAAGTGAAATCCGGCTCAAACTTTCCCAAACGGGAACACCGATTCGGAGCCGCACGTCTTCTCCCACAGTCTCTCAATGCCTAGGCGGTCGTGTGTGCAAGTTTCAATGCTAACGACGCGTTTATTGTGATTTTGGGGCGTTAAACTCCTCGATTCAAGTTTCTTAAGGAATAGTTTGCCTAAGTGAAATCCGGCTCTAATCTCCAACACCGGGAACCCGATTCGAGCCCCGTTCTTCTCCACAAGTCTCGCGTGCTAGGCGGTCGTGTGTGCCAAGTTTCATGCTAAATCGACGCGGTTTGGTGATTTTGGGCGTTAATCCTCAATTCCAAGTTTCTTGAGGAACTAGTTTGGCTAAAGTGAATCCGGCTCAAACTCCAAACCGGGAACCCGATTCGAAGCCCCGTCTTGTCTCTCAAAGTATCTGCGTTTTTTTTTTTTAAATATCTAAAAATAGGTTGTGAATTTTTAAAAGTTTATTATTTTTCAAAAAAATAAAATGATTGGAAATAATGAGTGTTTCCATAAATGTTATTATTATTTATTTAAATATACAAATTAAGTGTTATTATTTATTTTCAAAAAAATAAAATGATTGGAAAACAATGAAAACAGATTTTAGTTTTAAGTTGGGAATAATATCAATGTAATTAGAATTATAATGTATATATATATTTATATATAATTTACATATTTTTATATATATATATATATCAATATATATATATATAGATGATACAGATTTATCAATATATATATATTGATACAGATTTAATAATGTATATATTATCAATATATATATATATATATAGATGATACAGATCTGTATATATATATATAGAGAGAGAGAGAGAGAGAGAGCATACCTGTCGTCCTCGCCACAGCACCACCGCACCACTGCACCACCGTTCGCCTTTCGTAGGGATTTGGTTGAAATGATCAATATAGCCGTTCGGCTTCGTAGGGATTTGGGGGAAAGAAATTGGTTTCAAACATTTAGGGATTTGGATTATGTTTTGATCGAGCGGCAAGATGAATAGGGAAGAGCAGGGGCAAAAAAATTTTCACTTTTTGCGACGGTAGGTTTTACACCGTCGCAAATGGCATGTATTTTGTTCATAAAACGACGCCGTTTAAATTAGACTTTTTTGCAACGAACAATTGCCGTCGCAATATGTAAACTATTTGCGACAGCAAACGTATGCCGTCTCAAAACATTTTTTTGGCGACGGTAAAAACATCCGTCACTAATACTGATGCATTTATTCCCCTATCCGCGCATTTTTTATTACCGACGGGGACAACGCCGTCGCTAAAGCCTTCATTTGCGATGGTTTAAGCTACCGTCGCCAAAAAACATTTTTTGCGACGGGACAAGCGCCGTCGCTAATGCTTCCGTGTTTTTTACCCCCTTTTCTTGCAGTGTCGGTTGTGTTAGGGTTGCAGAATATGAGCGATGAAGAGCTCAAGTGTATGTTAAAAGAAGGCGATTTGAATAGTGATCTTCTCCCTTCTCCCTTCTTCTCCTCTGGTTTCTATTTTTTTTATTTTTTTATTTTTTTAAAATTGAAATTTCTCCCAAAATGACGTCGTTTTGGGGGTGCCACAAGGATGGCGGCAGGATTGTGCGGCCGAGGATTTGGACTCGACTGAAATATGCCCTAAGTTTTTAAAATTTTAACATATATGGATGGTGCATTGCAAGTCTGTAATTGTAACAAAAGAGTGGTGTTTGTGAGCCTACACACGTACGCATATATAGGCAGCACATATGGCTACAATAAATAAAGGTTTATGGTCGATTAATTATTACATGAATCAAACTTAATTTTAATCCTGACCAATCAACAGTGATAACTACAAGAAGTTCGAATAAAAAATTGTGTGAAATGACTCCCAATAAAAGTGCGATCGCAAATTCATATTCACCAAAGTATTTATCATGGTTAATGGGGAACAAAATGAGTTTAAAACTATTCAATAATTACTCTCAAACAAGTGATGTTTCAACAAACCTCCACTAACATACTTTGCAAATGAAGAAATTATTTGAACAGGAAGAAATTATTTGTTGATCCTAGGATATGGCCAGGTGTACCAAATGTGTTTTGACTAAAACCTCCACTAACATACTTTGCAAATGGAGAAATTATTTGGTTATCAGGATATACAGTGCCGCAAATGTGCGGTGGCTAAATGTGCTCTGACAGGGAGTAAGAGTAAGGTTGTGTTTGGCTTTTCAAACATAATTTTACCCTTTGGTGTGTTTGGTTATAATTTTTAAAAATTGATTTTACACTCATTTGTGAAAATACGTCTTGGTGTGTTTGGTTATAATTTTTAAAAATTGATTTTACACTCATTTGTGAAAATACGTCTATCCAGACATTTTTCTGGACGTTCGGCTGATTGACGGAAACAATATATATATTTTTTTGCCACCTATTATTTCAATATTTTAAATAAAAAATATTTTATGAATTTTTTAATTTTTTTTTTTATGAATTTTGAATAGAATTTTAAATTGTATATTTTGTTATAAGTTGTAAATTTTTAAATCAAATATTATGTTTCATTATTCAATTCAAACTCTTTTCAAAACTTTTTTTAAAATTCATAATCAAACAAATATTCTACATTAAAATCATAATTTACAAACTCAAAATATAATTTTATTATCAAATTATAATTTTAAAATTCTACCAAAGGCATCTAAAGTTCAAAAATTTGTGTGGGATCATAAAAAAAAAATAATAAGGAAGATGACATTTGTAATTGGTAGATTGCATTGTTCGGTAGTGTCCTTGAACCCCTTAATAATTTTTCCAACAAGTTATTTGCATCACCATAATCACTATTTCAATGAAATTCCTAAAAACTCCTCAACCATATCTGTGGGGACGAGTTTGAAAAGTTGGATAAAAATTAATTTTTAATTAATTTTGAATCATATTATATTTTATATTTTTTATATAAAAATAGACAAATTAAAATATTAAAAAAAAAAACTAAAAACACCAACTTCTCAAATCATCCTTTTATTAAAGAAAAGCTTTATATAACTACACATTGACCTCTTCAGATTCACCCCTGAAAATTACAAAAGATTCCACCCAATAAAAGAAAGATGAACAAAAAGAAGAAGATAAATTATACCTAAAAAGGGTAGGTACACAAAGGAGGGGAAGGGGGAGGGGGAGGGAGAGAGAAGAGAGAAGAGAGGAAGTGGTGGTGGGTCTCAAGTTCAAACTCTCACTAATAGCATTCCATTAGGGTTTTTGGTGGGCTGGAACTGACTTGACCCAAGCCCAACATGGTCTGTTGTTGTCTCGCATCTGAGTTGACTCAGTACTAGCTGAGTTTCCACGCCGAGGTGGCGATGAGTGGGCGAGTTTGCCAACCCAGCATAAGACACCCACCGTTCTCCTCCACTCTGTACCCATCACCGCCGTTAAACAAAGCCAACAACATGCTCGCTTGCTTGAACGCGTTCGAGCCCAGGTGAACCGACTCGAACCCGGCCGATCCGAACCGGGCTCTCCACTGAGCCAAAGTCTCATGTCTCTCGACCCGGTCCGAACCCTCACACGCCACCACGTTGCAGATCTGCCGACCCAAGTACACCTCCGACATCACCTTATCCTGGTTGTTCACCGCCGGCGACGGCGACCCACCACCACCTCCACCACAACCCTCCAACGAGTCGAAAAGAGTAGAGTAATAATGCAACGATTCAGTGAACCGGTCCAAGAAAACCGGTCCGTTGTGGTTCGCTTCTTGCTCAACGACAGTCAAGATCTCCGGCTTCATCTCCTTCACCGCCGACAAAACCTTCTCGATCGCACCGGGTCGAGCAAGCAATTGATGAAATTCGAAAACCGAATTCACCGCCACGGCCTCGCCTTCTCGTAGATCAAGCATCGACGCATCGAGATCGGCCAAACTGTTAGCCACAAACCCTCGGAATTCGAACTCTACATGGATTGTTTCAGCCAATTGAGCCAACTTCCAACCCACTTCTTGTAAATGGTCTGTGTTGTCATGGGAAGGCGGTCCAATTCCGGTTAACCGGAAAGTGGGTGGACCGCCCGGTCGGAGAGCCAAGGCTTGCATCAGAGCCGGCCACTGCATCCCCTGTTTCATGCTGAAATCGATGACGTGGACTCGTTTCTTGGTCGCGAAAGCTTCGAGGATGGCTTGATTGGCTGTGAAGTGAGCGAATTTGAGGTAAGGGCAGGTCTCGTAGAAATGGATCTGGAGATGATCTGAGAAAGCAGAGTCTTGTGGGTTTTGAGGGTAAAGTCTGTAGATTCTCCGAGCCAGAGCTTCGGCGAAATAGGTAGCGACTTTTCTCATCGTGCCGGCTTGAGAGACGGCGAGGAAGCCGATTTGCTTCACCAGAGCTTCGGCTAGCTTGACGTTGTCTTGTTGGACGGCTTCGGCGCAAGCCATGAGTGTGTGGACTAATCTGATACCGTTCTCTTGAGAGTCAACTAGGACCATCGGACGAGTTGGCTCAATCGACTCAGCCCACATCCCTAGTGGCATCGACGAGGTAACCGATGATGATGATGATGGAGAAGAAGGTTTGAATCGCTTGTTTGGGGGTTGAATTTGGGAATAAACGGCTTTACCAGGAATTGCTTTGAGATCGTAATCTGAAGATGAGTCTTGGAAGATTCTGCCATAGGAGTTTTGTTGATTGTATTGATTTTGGGTGTCCACGGATGTGACTGTGGAGGAAGATTCTATGGCGGCGAGGAATGGATCGTCGACCGGGGGTGGAAATTCAGGAAGAGGGTTGAGCTCGGTGATCATGGATTCGAGCCAAGAAGATAGATCTGATGGGTTGTAGTGAACTGTATCGAAAGCGAGGTGAGACAACCCATCTTCCTGAGCATGACCCATCACTTCTTCGAGCTGTTCCAGCTTCTGAGCAACATCAGCCATGTCGGAGGCCTTCACCTTGTAACCCAACACGGCCAGGAGCTCATCCACTCCGGCATCTTCTTCCCATGTCTTGGGTTTTCCACTTCCGCCGCCGCCAGAGGAGCTCCCAACGCCATCATCGCCGCCCCCGCAAAAGGTGTCCTGATGCGGCGGAGGGGGGTAGTGCTGGTGATGCTCGCGCTTCATATCTCTATCGTGGCTATTTGGGTTTTGGGGGTTCGGAGATTTGGAAGGAGTGGGAGTTTCTGAAAAACTCGCAAATCAACGGAGCCTTTGAACCTGGGGATTATTGGGGATTGGGCGAGGTGTGCTTGGTTTTTCACAAGTCTCTGAGTTCTGAGTTCTTCCAGGGAAGAGAGAGAGTGTGTGAGAGGAGAGAGAGAATTTTGTGAGAAAAATATATAGCGAAGCGAGAGAAATAAGAAATGCTCGTGACGAGGCACAAGCACCAAAGAATCAACAGGCAAACAACTACAGCTCATTGAAGCTGATAAGAGAAGCTGAGTGAGCACTGTTTATTGCACTGTAAAAAATAATAATAAATACTTACTGCTTTAGTTTTTAATTTTTAAGTGCTGTTTTTTTACACACGAGAAATAACAATAGAGTGATACAGAAAAAAAAATTCGGGGGTCTTTCGGAAAGTAATGTTTTACAAATCGGACTAGTGAATGAATCGGAAAAAAAATTGGGTGTATAGGTCATCGGTTCAACCGTCGGGTTGAACTGAAATTGAACCGTGATAAATATATTAAAATTATATTTAAATAAAAATATAAGTAATAAAATTATAAATTATAAATTAAAACTATTAAAAATATTAAATTATCTTAAATATTTGTCTTAATATTTTTTTTACTGAAAAATATAATAATATATTTTGAAATATTATTAATTTCAATTTTGGAAGATGAAATCAAATATTTAATATTCCCTCCATATGATTTTAATTCAAATAATTTGATTGAAAGGAGAACAAAAATTTTGGAGGGATATCAAAATTTCAATATTCCCTCCAATACATTTGATTGAATCACACATGGATTTCTTGAGTCTTTTTGAAAGAATTTTTTTCTTATAAATAGGTGAAGAC